ATGAGTTTTATGGTAGTACACTTGCTCCAATAAGAAGTAAGTTGCTCCTTTAGCCAAGTAGATTTCCTGTGGAAAAGAAATCCCAAGACTATTAGCACTGTATATTTAACTTTTTCCTGTGAAGAATAACCTATTTCCTTATCATGTAGCTTCAGGAATCCCTTGTATACTCAGGAAAACATCCAGAAGTTCTTTACTAAAGTTTGTCATATTAATCACACAGCTTCAACTTAGCAACACCAGTAACTCTAAACAAGTGCCTTTCTGAAAATGCCTAGCATTTAATCTGTATTTAATGAAAGCATAAAGAACCACTAAAATACACTGGGCCACACCACTCCATAAAAATGATCTGTGAAATAAACAAGCAAGTGGCTTTAGTGACACTTCAACCTGTTGCACTCATTTTGGAATGGATATATTATTGTTTCCATAATATTTTAAAGATCACAGTCTTTTGTAAAGAGGAACTATTATGCAAGTAAACTTTTATATTGTAAACTACAGAGGTTTAATACCTATTCAATTTAGTATTCAAGTCTACAGGAAACAAATCAAAAACAACTGGTTTATTATTTACTAAATTCAAGAAAGCACACAATGTAGTTTATATTGAACTAACAAATGCCTGATACATTTAAAAATATATATGTAAATTTATCTGCTTGACATTTATATTCTATTTAAAAAGCAGTAGCTTTACACATTTTACAGCTTAAATTTATAAAATTTATACATCTACCATATTCAAATCCTTAACTATGAGCTCCCATTCCTACTCATAAAATTCACAATTTATATTACTGATTATTAAGAGAAAAATGGCACCAACTAAAAACAAGGAATTCGCTTTGACGTCAACATACAGTTGATTTTTGGCTAATTAGCCTAATAAATAACCAATTCAAATAATTATTTTACGTCATGAGCCTGACAATTTCCATTCATATAAACAATCTGTGGTTAACTATGAAGAAACTTACATTTTCATGATACCTGACACAATCTACTGAATTTCTTAATAGTTTTGTTTCAGGTTTCAAAATTAGCGGCAGCATTATCCCATCTTTCCACACACCAGGAAATGTGACAAGTGATGTTATACCTAACAAGTCAAAGACCAGTAAAATTTGAAAATGATGCTAATGCCTTTGAGTAAACAGCTTAGAATTACAGTAGAAGTAAATTTTTCTTAAAATCCAGATAGTCTATGTGCCAAGAAATAAAATAAGAACACTTGTTTTCCTAGTCAACTGCACTCAATTTTCAAAACTGGAGTTCCTTAGATACACCAGCATTTAGGCATTTCTTCCATATATTCAAAATGGCTTCAGATATATTGTTTTATGAACAAAAAAATTTCAAAGATATTCATGTAATCATTCTGAAGATGCTTTACCAAATACAAGCCTCAATACTAACATTTAAAAATTAAAATTACAATATTATCTCAATGATCAGAACCATAGTCAGAACCAGAGCTTCAACTTGAAGGTTAGAGTTAATCTAAGATAGAAGTACATGTTTAGATTCCATGGGCCACCAAATGGTATACAAATTTGTCCTAATACCACAATTTATACTGAAAATAAATTAAAAGTTCCCCATAAATTACTATTTAAAAAAGTTCCAAATCTGAAAATGGCATGAAAATTTAAATGGAAAAACACTTTTACCAAAATAAATAATTCATTTGGGCACTAATTAAGGCTTTGGATGAGCTACCAACAAAAAGGAAATAAAGTCCCCTACTAGTATTTACCAACTAAATGACAGTTAACAGCTCATTTATCAAGTAGTTAATTATTCAACAAATTTAGCCCTCTACTGATGAACTGAAATTAGGTATCAGAAACTTTCTATGAATTTGTGGATGAGTCCTTATTATTAAATATATATATATATATATATATATCTGATGTAATCTTAATGTTCATTTTCTGGATCCCCTAAAGAAAAGGGAAAGGATAAAGGGAGGAAGTGGGGGAACCAGAGAGGAAGTAGAGGGGCCTGGGGAAAAAGAGAATCTTAGAAGTCAGAAAATGTTAAAAACTGATGCTTTGGACATCTGGAGACAGGAAGGGGAAAAAAAAAAACAAAAAAATTAAGTACTGGATGGTGTCACTCACATGTGGGAATACAGAAAAACAAAAGGTCAGATAAAACCAACCAGTAACAAGCCCTGGAATTGTGGATACCTGACGTGGACACAAAAAACAAGTTGGGGGGTGGTGGATTCTGTGGTGGTGGGTGTAGTATGGTAACATATACCTGAAGAGTGATCCTATACTTCTATACAAGTCATACAAAGTTGTAAGCCAATGTTGCCTCAATTAAAAAAAAAAAGGACTGCAAAACTACTAGGAGGATTAGGACCAGTTGGTGCAGATTAAAAAGACATCTTTTTGTTTTTAGACTTTAGTCATGCAAAGGCATTAGCAGAGTGCAGTAATTATTTTGATAAGCAGGAATCCTTTAGAAAAGATACATATGGTTATTTGTGAAAATAAACTTACACGCAATTATTAATTTTAAGCATTCACACTAAAATATGTAAAAAAAAAACTAAATAAAAATGAGATCAAGAAATATAAGCAGCAGTAACCATAAAGGCTTAGGACTAGTGACACTGAATTCTTTATTTAAAAAAATTTTTCAACACACAGTACCTCCTCTTCTCTTCTAGTTTTAGAAAGTAGCTTTAACAAGTTTTAAATCTCTCAATTCTCAAAAACAATAGGCTTTTAAAAAATAAGACTTCAGAACCAGAAACAAGTAATATGTGGTTACACACCGTTTTTATATCACTACTCATATTTCCATTATTTGCAAATTCATCTTTGCTGCAATCTGGGAACAACTGAGTAGTCAATAGATACTTGTTTTTTAGAATGTGAAGTAATTATCCACCACAGTAATCTAATAATGTGTTTTTGCATGTACTTAAAATTTTAGAAGGGGAAAATTAAACTATTCTGTTACTTTATATTAAATAATTATATGCCTAGTCAAAACAATAAGAATTAAGATCTTTCTCCAGATGATGTACTGAAGATTAAATAAAAGTCACTTTTAGCTTTTCTTATGGGGATTAAAAATGCTTTATTTCCCTGCTAGCTAAAAAAGTGGAATTACACACATTACAAATAAGTCCTTTAGAATATTAAATTCCTTAGAACAGCCATAAAATTTACTTTTAAAAATTTCTCATAAAATTGAAAACCACTTCTCTTTTAAAATGTATGGCATTAGTACCTACTTAACATAATTTTTTTGAAAGGGTACCAAATTCATTATCTAAGCATGCAAAAATAAGGAAGTGAATGTTGCACTGTCTTAACAGAATTTGGCAAACCAGAAGAATGCTCTTAAAATAAATAAATAAATAAATAAAAAACGGGAAGAGACTACATAGTCTAAATATGAAAGTATGATGCTGTAGGCTATGCAGCAGAATTTGTCGCATAGAGGAACATAGGGTAGAGGGATGTATCATGTTCCTATATACATTTTCTTGATGTTATTGTTATTCAACAACAGATTATAGGGAAATATTCTTTTTATTATTACAAAGCCATTAACTGCCTTCTCTCAGGTAAACGTCTTACGTCTTTTAATAATGTTAACTTACATTCAAAATTAACTTAGTAATTAAATCTAAGTGCAAAAAAGTTTTCAATGGTTCTTAAGTTTAAGGGGGTAAATGAGTAAGGTGTGATCTGATTGTAAATACAAATGGTTGGTGTTCTGTGTTTTAGGATATTTGATCTTATTTCCTTCTCTTTAAACCAACATAAACTGTATTGACAATATTTGGTTTTCCTTTACTTTCCTCTGCTTAATTTTAATTTAGTTTATGGTATCTCTATATTTAGAGAGGTATGTTAAAACACTGTTATTCATATTAAAAAACTCAATTGAGGCTATATATAACCTATTAATCTATAGTATAGCATTGTTAATCTCTGACCTGATATAAATTCCTTTGGTGAATAAATGTCACAGGTCATTTCTTTATAAAAGGATTTTAGTAAGAGAACCAGCAATATGGAGAGGATTCCTCATCCCACCCCATCACAAAATGATCAAGTCAATCAGTAGTTTAGAGCAGTTACGTAAAATAGGAAAAATACATAATTTACAGCTGCAGTTTTCATAATAAAAAGCAGTTAAAAACTAACAGTAGTTCAAAGCAGTCCAAAAAACGTTTTTGTCTTGGTTAAATAGGCCAACTAATAAGACTGATAGAGACTACTGTGAGAACTTGCGTATATCTAGTTAATATAGAACAAAAATGTTTTTAATTTTAAAAAGTGGTTGCTAACTAGTGATATAAATAGTGCCCACAATTTGGTGCTGGCCATGGTTTTAATATTTCTTTTTCAAGTTATTTCTATAGCAGACATATTTTTGAAGTCTACCCACCCCTGAGTTCAGCAAATATATTTTTAGAATGTAAAATTATATGCCCTTAATTAACAACATGTACAAATCTACAAAAATGTCATCTATATAGATTAAAAACAATTTTTTAAAGTATTCTTTGCCAATTTATGGATTGGATGGTTTTGCTGGGGTATATACTGCAAACCTTTCAGCCAACTAACTGGCTTTTATTTTTAAGCCCAAATTGATTTATATATTCACTGCAGGATATGTCAAAAAGAGTGCAATAATAGACATTAGTAAAAATAACATTGTAGTAGAAACAGATTTTGCATATGTGAAAAGGTAATTTATAAAATACATTAATCACTTTTTAAAAAGAGAATCTAGTTATACTATCATTCTTACATGGTACTGAGAATTGGACCTTTCAACAATTTCTTTTTCTATAGAAAAATTTTTATCTAGCTATAAGCAAACTCTTTTAAACAATAAGAAAACAAAACAAATCCCTCCAGGAAAACTGTATGGTTGTGTGAGACAAACAAGCAAACATACCATTTTATAGTGTATTTTTGCCTAAATTTTAAAATAAAAATGTCCACACTCTTTTGTTAAAACATTAAGCCTCTGTCAAAAATGTATTTCTTATTTTAGGGTACAGGATTGAAGGACAAGATGATACTTACAAGTAAAGAAATTTTACAAGAAAAAAACTTGACAAAAGTTCTTCAATTAAGTATTATAACATTCATACTTGACTTAAAACATAACAAAAGAAACAAAATTGCAAACAAAAATGTTATGGATTTTCCAAACATAAATAAATGAAATAGTGTTTAGGCAGTAAGGGCTCATGCTGATGGCTAGCAGGAAGTTAACAGAGTGTAATCTATTTGAAAAATTGTTAATGTACAAATAACAAGCCCAATTATGGACTGCAGCAGTTCAATTATCACTGCCATTTTTCTTACTTCCAAAATAAAGCCTTGATTAAACCATTCATACCCTATATTACTCATACCTTTACTTCAGAGATTGAGAAACTATATACAATGAATGGATTTATTTTCACCATAGGGATAACACATTGTACCTCTCTGCCAATGTTACTTGAAAAACCTTCCATGTCAAAACAATTTGACAGCAGATATAAACAATTCAATAAATACGCAATGATCTTTCATTACAGTCCTTTAAAGACGCATGTTAATTCATGCTGTTAACCTTAGGATCACAGTGCATAGAATCCAAATATAAACAGTTGGGGTGACTTTCTAAATAATGTTGGATCCCTCACTTTACTTATAATCCCACTATAACCGATAAGTTCATTTCATAGGCCCTATCATGCATTAATCATTGGGTGGCAGGAGTTAAATGAAAATTTTTCCTGTTACAACGTCCATTGCCGGCAATGAACGTCCCAAAACCGCCAAGGAAGTCATTGTTATTGCACAATAATACATGAGGACCTGGAACTTTTCCAAAAGCTTACAAAAATAAAAATAAAAAATGGAATTATATTTGACATTTCCTGACACCTGCATTAATACTGTATGACTAATAAAAGCATGTCAGTTGCTTGGACTGAACCAGCGATCAACATGCGCCCAGAATGCACACAAGTAAAAATGCAGTAAAAGGAAGTAGTCTTCATTGCCTATAGGTCATTTCCAGTCAAAGGTTAAAGTTCAAAGACTGAATGATCAAAGTGCTCATTTTCTCAGTAGGTCTATCTTCTGCTAGGAGGACGGTAACAGTGGCATCAACAAGTATCATCTTTAAGAAAAGGGAAAAAAAAAAATTAAGTCATGCATGCAATAAGTTATAAAATCTACAAGTTAGTCTTACATAGAAATAATTTTAAGTAACAAGAAAAACATGGTTTACTTGTCTGATCTCCCCCAATACCTGCAATAAAAGGTCCAATTTCTGTTCAAATGCACAGTGAAAAAGCAAATTCTATTCTTTCAGAGAAATGGTAGTTCATACAAATCTTAAATTCCTGATATGTTAATTTTATATAATAAGTTGATATGTTAGCATATATTTAAGATTTATCAATCTTAGGAGAATTTTTTCATGGGCAACAATTTGAAATTATAGTGAGATAATTGTCCTGACCATTTAAATTTTATTAAAAAAATAAAATTTTTAGCAAGTATAGATAGATATGTAAAGAAGGTCATTTTAAAAAACCCCAGAGAACCTTTTAGTAATTACTATCTGGTAGCCTGAACATAATATAGAATATACATATATTTTTAAATTTATGACTTATTTAACAAACCAGAGCTGAAGGATTTATTTTGAGGATAGTTATTCTTCAGTAAGAAGATTTAGGAAGAAGCAAGACCAATGGAAACTACCTAAGAATTGTGAAAATTCTCAAGGAGAAAATTCTGGAAAACTGGCCAAAGTATTTTACAAACCATCCCATATTAAAAAAAATAAATATTGTTAATAAAATTCTAGTCATACTCAATAGCAGTTAAAAACCTAGATATCTGACTTTAATGCTGGGCAAACCAACGGAATATTCCACAACTCTATACCTTAAAGATAATCTAAAGGGTAAAACAGGCTAGGTTTTTAAAGTAAATCATAATCTAATTTATTTGAATCTTTTAAATAAATGAGTATTTTTAAGAAGTAAACAAGTAGATCATTTATAGCCTTCAAATATCTGTTTTTTAAATTACCATGAAACTTGGAATAAAGAGAATATATCTATCATGGATGCAAAAATAAACTTAACATGAAGAAAATCCTTAAAACATCACTTTTGCAACAGAGCATTTTACAGCACTAAGATCCTTGAAATTAATCACACTTAAACTTCTCAGCTGAAAAATGGCACTCAACTTTATTTAACATGTCAAACCAACAGGGATAAACTTTAATGTAGATACCACTTGACAATGTATATATTAAGAAAAGTGACAGCTAAAATTCTATTTGAATATGTTATCTGGTCAACTACATAAGCTTTTATCTCTAAAGACATATCCTAAATGTAGCTTTATCACGTTGTTCATTCTGTAAGATTTTCAATACAGTAGCCTTCTGTAGAATGTGCTACATAAAACCACTAAAATGATTAGGAGACCCAAGTGAAACTATTCTTTCTATCCAATCCAATCTCCATCTTTGGTCAGATTCAAAATAAAATTTAGAACTAATATCACACTACCTGCCTTGAATACTCTGTCTTTGGAGAAATAATACTTACTAAATTTCTAAGTTCTAAGATGAAGCTCAATAATCTCTGATAGCTGGACCCACAAGGCCTTAATCTTCACAAATTCATAATGAATGAATGAAAACACACACACACACAATCAAGATTCTCTAAGTAAGTACGGAGACAGGTATAAGCCAAAGTTATGGCCACCTTTTCCTTAAATGGAGTCCCCAACAAGAAGTAAAAACCTCATTTGTTCGCAGAAGAATACAATTTCCTAGCCAGATGAAAAGGATTGGCTTATGAAAAAAAAAAAAAAGTTGTTAGGGTAAATCCATTTTGGATCAAGACAAATGTAGGCCTACAGAGGATGAATAAACATTTAATCTTGTAGCTAAAGTGTTTATGAAAAGATGGACTGAAAATAATCTCATGAACAACTTAAATTTTCTGTGCAACTGCAGAAGTCCCTACTAAAATTATATCCTCAAATACAATACACAAATTACCAGTTCCAAAGAAGTGACACCTACCATGGCTAACTTCACTGGGCTTCTGGGAAACGTGAATGAGAGAGAACTATATTAGAAGAAGGTCATTTAGTTTTCCCCAGAGTATAAGAACCATCACATTATATTGGAAACCATCTCCCTGGATATTCCCAGGGACAGAAGACTAGAAGAAAAGGAACATAGCAATAGGTCAGTAGATATGAAATGGGATGCTATCTCCAAGAAAGACAAAAATAAATCTTTACAGTCTCTCAACAGTTTAGGGAATTAAAATTTTCCTTTGATGAACTAATTCAAGAAAGACTTCAGAGTGGAAAATAAAACTGTTATCTAACAGGAATCAAAGGGCAAAGACTGTTAAAAATAATTAATGTTTGAACTCAGGAATTTAGAAAGTGATTTTGTAACCCCTACAAGCTTGTAATGCTGAAAGTGTAAATAAAAAATTCACAGCTAACATAGGTATATCTATAAACAACTATAAGACAGGGACAAAAGTAGTTCATTAATACTAATCTGAGACAACTTCATGTTCCTAATTCCTTTATAATCCTTATAATTCTATTCAAAATGTTCCAGTTGTATGGAAATAGAGTATCATTTATAGTTTTGGGGAAAAAATACTGCTCTACTCCTCCCAAAATTATAAACATCAATTTATTAGACACAAAATCTAAATATTACAACAATTTATTTCCTATACACCTAGTTTTCTGGAGCCAATACTCAACACAGCTTTGAGCTATTGTATAACTGACCATTGCTCAATTCTCTATTGTCTTAAGGAAAATGCCTCAGGAACCACAAATCTATTCTCCCATCTGTGGAAAGCAATCATTTATGAAACTAAGTTGTATATGCTTAATGTTAATCTCAGAGAACAGATGAATCATATGATTAATGGATTCTAGCTGGCTACCTCACTGAAATATTTTTATGATCTCATAAAGAGACTTTGTATCTTTTTCAAGAATTATGTGTATAATGATAGTGTGACTCAGTCATAGAAATCCTCCTATTTTGAGAACTCAATCATTCATTCATTTGTGTGCTGAAGTAGATATAGATCCTAGCCCTGAATCTTAGGTACATTACTTGGTCCCCTCATACACTGAGATGAATTATCTATTCAAATATCTATTTTGGTTAGATTTAGTTTGTTTTTCAACCCTATTTTTTTTTTAAAGCATAGCAGAGTTTATTTTTATTTTATTTTTTTAAGATTTATTTATTTATTTATTTATTTATTTATTTATTTATACATACAAGCACTGGTACAGTCAGAAGCGCAGGAGGGTGAGAGAATTCACCGGAGCCAGAGCAGGGAACAGAACAGGCAGAAGGACCGAAGTACACTGCTGAGGGGAGCAGCGGGTGGCAGGGAGGTCTGTGCGTCATGTGGGACACTCGCCTGGTGGCCGGGGATCGAACCGGCGATGCAAAGGCTGTGGGCAGCTTAACAACCCAGCGCTCAACTGCTGTGCCACCGGGGAGGCCCTGTTTTTCAACCCTATTACCTAGGCTCAATTGATATTTCAAAGCATAGAGACCCCAGCCTTAACTGACAACACAGTTATTTGCCTCCAATGCAGACAAGACCATAATTCTTAGTGAGTAGAAACTTTTAATTATAGAGTTCTGGTAAACAGGCTGATAGTCAATTTCAAGTAAGTAACAATAAGGAATATGTATTCACTTTATCAGTGACTTTTTAAATTTTAATTAGTTATTATGTGAGAGGAACCCCAAGGAATGCAATCCATCATGGTATGACTTATAGAAAGACAGTTACTGTAGGGTAACACTGAATGGCCTGATTTCAAAGCACACTAGCTAATATTATGTGGAAGATTACAAATTTAAATTGAAAGTCTCCCCCCTCCCCCAAGAATCCAACACTTGCTATCTAGCAGCTCAGTTTCAGTGTGTTAGCTGAATCTTCCTCTTTTAAAATCAAGAGACAAACTGAATTTCAGATTTAATGCCTCCATTCTATATCCAGGAAGCACCGTCTTTCCTCACTCCCCTACACAAAATATTACTAATCTAAACCAGATTCTCTCCTGCCTCTTTGATTACATGTGACAAATACTCTGAACCCAGGCTGACCCAAGTATGCTGTTTAACACAACATGGAAGGATGGTGGAGCTTGATAACTGAGGCCTGCTTGGTTTCTAGAAACTGAAATGTTGTGTTTCAGTGAGTTCATTCAATTCCAAGCAAGTCTTTGTTCAGTCTTTTTGTTTAGCTTTGCAGGTCACATCAGGACATTGGTCTGCTCTTGTAATCCTTTTAGAATTAGGTAATGCTAAAAAATAAGAGTTCATGTTTCGTGGCAACTTGGTATGATAAGGAGAACAAGATCAGTGAAGGTCTTTTGGAACTAAAGCAACTAAACATAGAAACATAATCTGATATCTGGAAAGCTCTAAAACAAAGCTGATTTGTTTTGCTTTATGAGTATGATTACCTTTCTGATAACATTTTCCCAATTCATCTATAATGCCAATGTAAGCTATTTTTCATTGCCTGTAACTGTTATTCTGAAATGTATAAAAAAGATAATATATGCTACACAGCCGAAATGCTTTTAACTTTAAAGTGGGGGAAAAAAGTTAAAGGAAGATTCTCTGCACCCATCTACCTTTATGAGAGAACGAGTGCTTTGTCATCTCAAAGTATAATTAATATTACCCTTCACTGATTTCATATGAAGCTCATTCATGGAGCAAACCTGTGAAACTAAGGGGAGGGGAATGATAATAGGTAAGCAGAATTCAAGCAGGAACATAAAACATTGAAATTAGAATGACCACTGTATGTTAATAAACTGAGGATGTTTTAAAAATAATTATCTGTTAAGGAAAAAATGTATCAGTACCTGGGATAGGAAACTAGACAAGGATAGTCAGGATTTGGTTGAATGAAAATTCAGTGCCTTTTAAATATGGCTAATTTGTATTTTGGAAAAGAAAAGAGGGAATACTTTTAATCTGTTTATTGGGGGAATGAATTTCTACAAAAACTCTAGACTATTTTCTACTAGGAGGGTAATTTAGTTTGAAAAGCCTCCTTCTCCTGGCTAACTTGGAGAAGATGATCCAGCATTAAACTAGTAAAAGACTCATCTACTTCAGTTATGAAACAAAATGTATTTCTCAACAACAGATAACACACTATTAACTATGAAAAGTAAGCTCCACTCTAAAGTATTTTGTTTTAAATATTAAATGTCTAATTTCATTATGTGACTTTCCCAATTTTATTCAAAAAGTAAGTAAGAAAAAATTCCTGAAGTACTCTTAAATAAAGGAGTTCCATATCCTTTCAACCACACAAGATAGCAGTAGAAGACTGGAAAAATGGTTATCTCTTTGAAATTTCCCTACCAGGGAATAAGGAAGGGAAAAATAGGAATACACTGCCTAACACAGGGGGACTGCTGGGGAAGATAGGATGGTGGTAAGGGTTCTAGTTTCAAAAAATATGTATATTCAAAATTCATCACTTTAAGTCTATCTGCAAGCCTTATTTAAAAACACCATGGGGCCTCCCTTGGCGGTGTAGCAATTGAGCGCTGGGCTGCGAAGCAGCCCACAGCCTCTGCAGTGCTGGTTTGATCCCTGGCCGCCGGCAAAGGTCCCACATAGAGCACAGACCTCTCCTGCCACGCCTGCTGCTCCCCTCAGCAGTGTATTTCGTCAGTCTGCCTGTTCTGTTCCCGGCTCTGGCTCTGGTGAATTCTCTCACCCTTCCGTGCTTCTGACTGTACCCAGTGCTTGTATAAATAAATAAATAAATCTTTAAAAAAACCCAACAAAACACCAACCATGGAACAGACAATGAAGAAGTTTTTCTATTAGTAGGGCTGAGTCTGAAGTAGAATGACTTGTGTCTTAGGAACTTCGACACCTAAACAAAAATTGATTGACTAATCTTAATTTTTGATGTACTTGGAAAACTTATTATATTAAGATGGGGGGGGCTGTGACATACAAGCAATGATTGCTTTTATTAAGGAATTTTTAAAAATATAAAGTGGGGGTGGGGAGGTTTTATGCAAAGGAACAGAGAGAAGAGGCAGCTTAGTGACTAGTCCTAAAAGGCAAGAGGATGCAAAAGAATGAGAAGTCAGCAATGTAAATTGAAGTAAATGGTCATTTAATTAAAGTAGGATCTTGTTAAAAATTTTAGTGGACCTTCAGTGCTCAGAGAATTCCTTTGCCTGCTTGTAACAGTAATTCTCAAGTTATCAGTGCTATGTCTTAAAAAGTAAAACCAAACCAGCATTCTAGGCACAGTACTAGTTTCTTAGACTCCTTAAAGAAGGGAGTTAATCTATAAAGCTCTGGTGAAAGAATTCCCAAGAAGAGGTCTGTGTGTGTGTATAGTGGAAGGATTCATTCATCAAACAGCAAATGTAGAAGCAACAACATGGAGCATAAGAAACAGTCTATATTATAAATAATTTTCTATTGAAGATTTCATGTAGGAAATATTTCATCTATTAAATATGACTATCAGATGTTTAGTATTCTCAGAAGAAACTTTTTTGCCTATACTTTTAATCGTAAGCAACTTTTATAAATGGTCTTCACTTTTTTTTAAAGATTTATTTATTTATGCATACAAGAACTGGGGTACAGGCCAGAGGTGTGGGGGTAAGAGGATTCACCAGAGACAGAGTGGGGAATAAAACAGGCAGATTCACTGAAATACACTGCTAAGGGGAGCAGCGGGTGAGGCAGGATAGGTCTGCTGTGCCATGTGGGTAGCTCTCTGACTGGGGATTGAACTTGTGCTGCAGTGGCTGCAGACAGCTTCATAGGTTGCGTCCCAAGCTCCTGTGCCACCAGGGAAGCTCTCTTCACTTTTTATAATCTATAAATGTTTTACACAATTCTATTTCTATAACTTTATACTGACTGCTTTGAGGTTTTTGGATGCATTTTTAAGTTTAAATTTGCCTATAACTAAATGTTTAGTTTCTTTGTGATTTTTTAAAAAAGATTTATTTATTTATTTATACAAGCACTGGGGGTACAATCAGAAGCGCGGGAGGGTGAGAGAATTCACCAGAGCCAGAGCGGGGAGCAGAACAGGCAGACTAATTAAATACACTACTGAGGGGAGCAGCAGACGCGGCAGGAGAGGTCTGTTGTGCCATGTGGGACCCCTGCTGGTGGCTGGGGATCGAACTGGTACTGCAGAGGCTATGGGCAGCTTCGCAGCCCAGAGCTCAACTGCTGCGCCACCAGGAGGCCCTCTGTGATTTCTGATGTCAGAAATTCATCCTCTAGGTTGAAGCCCAATTTTAAAAAAAATACATTTTCTATTGTTGTATTAGAAAAATATCCAATTCAAACCACAGGAACTATTCTATATATGAAATAAAACACAAACATTTCTTACCCAAAATTACTACCCGTTTTCTAATGAATTACTTTATTTTCCCCTTCTTATGGATTTGTGATGTCTTATTTACCATATATTCAAATCTTATATACAAAAAGACCTAGAGAAATATAATTATGTCAAAGATCTATCTATTCTTGCATTAATATGCTTTGAAGTCTGGTAGATGGTTTCTCCTTCATTATCCTTTAGTTTAAAATTCAAGGTACTCTTCTTATCTTTTAGCGACCATCATTTCATTGGTCTTTACAGAATTACATTAAACCTACAATTTGTAAAGAATCTACATTTTTAAATTATACTGTTTTTTCATTAAATTATTTTTTTCTTTCCAGAACTTAAAAGTTTTGTCATTGCTTCTCTTAGATAATCTACCTTTCTTATTAGCATTATGCAAATAGTCATAATTCTGTGGTTCTCAGGAATGTCATTCTTGTTTGTGTTTTCTAACTTGCAATTGCTGGTATTGTGCTAGTATACTGAACTTGCCATCTTTTATCTCAACACTTAACAAGAACTCTTACAAATTACAATTAAGTTTTTATTGACTTAAATTAAGCTGAGGTAACAGAAGGTTTCACATTGGATAGAAAGGTAGGGGGAAAGACCATAGTCCTACTATTTAGTTTTGTCAGTTCTAATTTCTTATCAGGGTAACATTTTAAAAAGGAAGACAAATAAAATAATCATGTATTAAATTCAGGGGCTGGTTTTTATTCCCTCATTTCAAAAAGCTCAATGAGATATAAAAACTTTTTGTTTTTAATTATAAATATGTCTTTAGGAAAGCAGTAAGTTTAGTTCAGAAAAGATGCTAGCTTTCAACTATAAAGATACCACCAGCTTTCCCACTACAACAGTAGAAATTTAAAATTGAGTGCTGTATTCACAAAGCTAGAATTAGCAGTCTTAAATTTTCTGATGAAAAACTATGAGAAAGGAAGAGTTTTCTTTAATTTAATAGGTCCTCTTTAACAATATGATCCCACCATCCTCCAAGACCACCATCAGAACTGAATGAGTACATTAGGCATCAAAATTTGTATTTCAAATAACAGGTCTCCCAACAAACTAAGTTAGTTCTAACATGACTTAAGTATTATGATGGCTATGAATTTATCTGCCCCATTAAAAATCTAGTCTAATCTGTTCATAACATAACTTATAATATTTTAAAGAATTTCTGTATTATTGACACAAAAAGACATGTGACATATTCCCTTTTCCCATCCAAGCAAGCAGGTATTATATAATATTTCAACCAAAAAACTAAAATGTTATTCTGAAATAAAACTGCTTACCGTGATACCACCATTTTGTTTTCTTTGGGTTCTTGTTACATGTTCGAACATAAAAAGAATTATCTGGTGGTCTTCTCTGAAACCAAAAAAAGTTTAAATGGGTAAGAAGTTGTAAATATAAGAATAATATAAGGGGGAGACAGTTTTAACAAAATTATTATAGAAGGCATAAAAAACAATATAAACATTGATGCATAACTGAAGAAAAAAAACCTAATATATTCCAGGTGATGTAGACTCTTCATAATGAAATTGTTCAAAATAAAAGAGGCGAAGGAGGTACATGTATGGGTTAGAGTTCATGGATTACTAAAGAATGAGTATCAACTAAAGAGTAATAGAATTCTAGTTGTGATGAATTTTTGTTTCATTTTTTATGTCCCTAGAAATACTTTAACTAATTTTATGACCTATTAAAACAGAAAAGTTTGCCTAATAGATTTGTCTAAGAAATTATAGTAACAAACTTCCACAAAGAATTATCGTTTTCCAGTAAGATAGTATCATCAAGGACAGACCAAAGGATTCTGTTTTCAAAAAATACATAAGGGGAAAAAAGGGGAAAGTTATAGACATTTCTAACATATATATGCCCTGGCTAGCACAATATTAGAAACATAAGGCAGCTCTGTAGGGGGTTACATCAGAAATGGTGATGCCAACAACACTAAAGATAGATTATGGAAAAGACTTTTCCTAAAAAACTGCTGGGAAATAACCAATGAAATATGTGACTCTCTACAAAGCCTTGGAAACGTCAAATTTACATGAAAGTCATTGAGGGCAGGACTCTCTAGTGTCACAGGGATTAGTCTCTGAACTATCATTGCTAAGGCCTGAGTTGGATCCCTGGCCAGCTAACCCACATAGGGCACAGCAGACTCTCCTGTCTGGCCTGCTGCTCCCTTCAGCAGTGTATTTCCGTAAAACTACCTGTTCTTCTCCCCACTCTGTCTCTAGTGAATCCTCTCACCCCCTGCACCTCCAGCCTACACCCCCGTTCTTCTATGCATAAATAATTTTTTAAAGTCATAGAGGACAGATTTGTAGATAACATGACAGGTCCAACCAAAAAGCATAGGTAATCATAGGTAATTTCCTTTCTGCCTGCAGAAAGGAAAACAGTCCAGCTCACTAGGTATTCATAATACTCACGTATACAGCTATGACCTTAGTTGAGTCTCATAATCCCCTTATGAATTAATAGTAATTTAACAAATGGGAAGAGAAGAAATTAAACTATCCCAAGATCACCCTATTGAAATAACTTGAGAAAGTTTCTAAAAATTAACATTATGAAATTAAATGACTGATGATTTCAAAGGTCTGTTGCTGCTTGTCCTGCAAAGTTATAATCTGCGTTCATGTGGAATAAACTGTTACTACTATAGCAAATAACTTCATGAAGTCATTTATCTGCACATTTCATTCAAAAAGTAAACATTTAAGAAAGAAAAAAAACATTCATTTTATTTGATTGTTAAAGTATAACCACATTGGAGCAATCAAAGAGATATGGCTCTCAGAAAAATATACAAAAGGAAGAGTCACCAAAATTGTTTGGTATATAAACTGGGAAGTTTCAACGACCTATATATATCATAAGGGCAATGAGAATAGAGGGTAAGCAGTTGAAAGGCCCTTGGTATCAATACCAGAAATTATCTCTAATCTAGTGAAATCTACTGACATACTGTATTTTCAATGCCTTCGCCTTAGGAAAACACCATTTACTGTAAAAAAAAAAAAAAAAAAAAAAAGCTGAAATGAAAACTGAAAGAATTATTACTAATCAAAGTCCCCAAATGTCTATAGTAAAAATTTAAGTTTATATTTGATATTGAAATATAAACCTTTGCACTTAAAAAAAAAATAAAGTCTGTATTCAAAGAGAGTAAAATATTAAAGTGAAACTCACAGAACCAAGTCCATTACAGAATAAAATTCACCTGTTTTGATAGCTTTTGGTGAGTACTTAAAAGACTTTTTAATGCTCTTTTGGAACTAGATCCCCTCAATGACAAAGCAAGTTTCCACGTCAGCTCTGTAGCCTAGTGCTTAGCACATAAAAATAGCACACAGCAGGTTTCTAAAAAAAATGTTCAGAATTTTATTATATTTCACACAACTAATGCTGCTACAATCCTGATTTCCAAATTATCAAGTTGAACAAACAAGTTAGAACTTATAATTTATATTATACAATATAATTTATCAATAATTTAAATGGAATGATTAGTATATAAAAAATACTAGTAGCAGAGAAAGTATAAGGATTAGAAAAGGATGAGAAGGTAGAAAGTACAGTTATTTTCTAGTTTTTAAAAGTAAATTACACTTAAATATTAACAAAAGCTAATTATAATAAGGAACATGGAAGAGCTATGTGCTAACATCATTTGATGTTAATATCTTAACCTTTCTTATTAATCCTACAGTTAATGCCTCACATTTCTACAGATATTAAACATTAACTGTGACACAGAAGTTTTTGTAGCAAACTGCTCTGCCTTACAACTAAAAGTTGAAAACTTAGATGTTGAAGCAGTAGATGGGGCAGAGAAAATATTGAAGCAGTAAATGAAAAAGACTTATTTTCAAAGTCCCTGAAGTTAAGTAATAGTCTTAAAATGCAGTTTAGAAAAGTCAAAAACAAAGAGTAAACTGAGTTAAAAAGTGATACTAACATTAGATAACTGTACTCTATTTTCATCTATTTTATAATGTTCATTATTCCTGCACATTTTAGTATTTCTGAATGGAGACACATCTCTTAATGACATGACACTATTTACTGTCAGAAGATTTTCTATCTATATGGTACATAAAATTGCGTAAGGGCTCTTAATTCTACATTTTAGAAAATCCATTATTTACCATGCTTATCTGAACAAAACCTTTTTAAGTTAACTGCTCATGGAACTAACATTCCAAGAAACTCACTTTGCAAACAACTGGCTTAGTGTTTAATACGGTAGATCTAGATAACCTACCATATTAAAATGATCTACTCTTAAACATTCTCTAAATACTACTTTAATAAAAAATGAGTCAATTCAACTTAGAGACCATTAAAATACTTCTAAAATAAATAAAGCTCTTAATCTCTTAGAAATTTTGTTTTCCCTTTAAACAGAACACGCAAGGATGCATTCTCATGGAGAAGTGAGGTTTTAAACTGCGGAAGTAGCTACACTATCCCTTAGTAGGAATGATAAGAGGGCCAGGAATGTACAGAGGATTTAGATACTTTAAAAGGGTATCCTAAATTTAACTCATGTGATTTTCTTTTTGGTCTTCCCCTCCTAGCCATCAAACATAGACTCTGTGGGTTAATGAAGGAGAATAAGAAAATTCTACTGGTAAACTACTTCTCCTTCTTCAACCTAATCATTATGATAGGAAAGCACTGATTCTTGGGAATTCCCCAAGAGACTGATAAAATGAAGCCAGAAGAGGGAAGAGGGAACTATGATGCTTATTGATGAGGCTTTCCACTGTAAAATCTAGAACAAGAATTTCTTGTACACTTTTGCACTGAACATGCTTATGTGAATGAAATTCAAACTTAAAAACACCTGAAAAACAATCATAAAAATGTCAGCAGAAATTTCCTGTTTTAGAAATATAAAACAATAAATCTGACTTCTAATTGGAACTAAAGATTATCAAAATAATTTTCCAATCTATTTTTTAAAAATAGCATTCCCTATAACTTTATTTTTAAAAAAGCATATTACATATGAAAATTATTTCTCTGCCTAAGTGAAAGAAGTAGTAGTACCTGGAAAAATTCTGAAAAGTCCTACCTTTTCTTTGCAGCTGGAAAGCATGCTAATAATGCTAAGACAAACTGATTGGACTGAGAGCGCTGGGGACCAGTCTTCTGTTAGAATGGATAAACAGATATGACCATTGCTATAAACATGAGGATGAACAGGAATATTTTCACCAGTAAACATGACCTAAGAAAGAATAAAATTCAATTAACATTTAAATACTCTGTATCACCAAAAAATATTCTTCACATAATTTTATATTTTAAAATCCAAATTAAAACCAAACCAAATCAATGCCAGAAACAAGACAAACAATTGCTTGTTGTTTAATCTCATTAAGTACTGATTTCACTTTTTGAATGATCATGTTGTACGGGGAAAACCCCAGATTAAATACTTTGTATTTTCCCTTTTAAAAATTTAATTACTTAAAAAAATTTCTCTTTTAAAATTTCTAAGTTAGCAGGTACTTTTAGATTAGTGAGGACAACTTATTTATAATAAGTTTGTTTTTCAAATTGTAAGTTTTTCAAATTCTACTCATTGCTCTCTGCATACGGAAATCATACATTAAAATTTCAAACAAAAGTATACAGTTGAGAAAATGACAGTAGGAACATCTCTTTTCTCATCCCTTCTACCTTTAACAATGCTATATCCCCTAAAGAGCTCTGTGCAAAAGGAAATGACAGCTATACATTCCACTTCCTCTAAACTCACAATCATTATAATTACTACTTATTAATCACGAAGTAACTGTGATTTAGGTGAAAAAACAAAAGTAAAATTAGCCCCCTAATTACATTAAGTACTTGCAGTTTTTTTCTCTGCCTTTTCTGTTACTCAATTCATCTAAAGTTTTTCCTTTCTCCATCTTAGCACTGTTTTGAAAGGCAGTAAATCTATGATTTCTTTTCTTTGCCCTCATAAGTCCACATATATCCTAGCAGTTATGTATCTGATACTTACCTACCTAAGCATATGAACAGGCAGGAAAATAAATGCATTATATACTGAGGAATCTGTTTGGTTTTTTTTTTTTAAGATTTATTTATTTATTTATACAAGCACCGGGTACAGTCAGAGGCCGGGGAGGCTGAGAGAATTCACCAAAGCCAGAGTGATGAAGTACACTGCTGAGGGGAGCAGCGGGCGGCAGGAGAGGTCTGCGCGCCCGCTGCTCCCCTCAGGGGATCTAATCTGCACTGCAGAGGCTGCGGGCAGCTTCACAACCCAGCACTGAACCGCTGTGCCACGGGGGAGGCCCTATACTGAGGAATCTGGAAGCATAGTTCAAAGTAGGTTAAAGAAAGAAACTGCATTAAAGAATGTTTCTGTATTACTGTGTATTAATTATTTTTATGTAAAAAGTAACTCACCAATGTTTGTTTAAATTTTATACTGCAGTAAGATGTACTATTTTTATTCTGCTATTTAGTAGTAATTCCTTATTTCTGACCTGGCCTATTTAGAAAAAAACAATATAGCAGAATATCTGGCTAAAAATACAAATTTAAGGGCCCCCTTTTCAGATTCTGATTCAGTAGCTATCATAGGCTTTTATAAAGCTCATTAAGTATGGCCTCCCTGGTGGCAAAAGGGGTTAAGCACAGCACTGTGAAGCTATCCTCAGCCTCTGCATCATGTATTCCATTTCTGGCTACCCACATGGCTCATCAGAACTCTCCTGGCTGCTCCCCTCAGCAGTGTATTTCAGTCAATCCGCCTGTTCTGTTCCCCACTCTGTCTCTGATGAATCCTCTCACCCCCTTGTACCTCTGTCCTATACCCAGTTCTTGTATGCATAAATAAATAAACCTTTAGGAAAAAAATTTTTTAAAAAGCTCATTAAATATAAACCAGTAGTTCCCAATCCAGAATTACAGCTCTCTCTAGGTATTGCAAATTACCTCAGTTTCTTAGCAGAATTTTAGTGAGAATATCCTATGTTATCACAGAAATTGGTGAAGTATAACGTTTTTTTCCCTTAATGGAGCAGAAAAGAGAGCCAGTGAAATAAGTGTGGCCAGAGAAAAGATATGCCACCATTTAATATGGGATATGTTACAGGAAATTAACAAAGGCTAGGTTTTTGTTTTTGAATAGCTACAAAACTGACTTTATTACAATCTTACATTTTAACAAAGCCATCTCTCATACAAGTAAGAGTCTCCTAACATTTCAAGTATACTACTATTAACATATGGGACTTGTTTCCTAGGTTGAAGCTAATATAAGGGAAAAATTTTTCCCCCAAATAATTACCTATTTAACTTCTAATTATCCACCCTTCATTTCCACTAAAAAGATATAAAGGATGTCATTTTATGCCTTGCCTGAATGTAGAAGATCAACTTTTTTTTTTTGGGGGGGGGGTAAGATTTATTTATTTATTTATACAAGCACTGGGTAGTCAGAAGCGCAGGAGGGTGAGAGAATTCACCAGAGCCAGAGCGGGGAGCAGAGCAGGCAGAAGGACTGAAGTACACTGCTGGGGGGAGCAGCGGGCGGCAGGAGAGGTCTGCAGGCCATGTGGGACCCTCCTCCGGTGGCCGGGGAGCAGCTGGGGATCGAACTGGCACTGCAGAGGCTGCAAGCAGCTTCGCAACCCAGTGCTCAACCGCTGCGCCACCGGGGAGGCCCGAAGATCAACTTTTTGAATCATATCAATTACATCAATTTTAGTGTCATTTTGCAAAAAAAGTGTTGCTCTACAAGAGAAAATCACTGCTTAAAGGGTTTTACAGTTCTATACCTTGAGTCTATCATAATTCTTTTTTTCAATTTTATTTTATTTTTCATAAACATGAACTTTAATGTGTCATACTGTATGCTTTTGATTTCCTAGATGTTGTAGATGTATCTAGAATAGGAGTTCACAAATCTTACAGAATATGCATCTGCTTTGTGGGATTCATTCTCCTGCAAAATGTCATTTGACAGTATTTTCATTAAGAACACAAGCAGGGCCTCCCTGGTGGTACAGGAGTTAGTCTCAGCACCATCAAGCTATGGCCACTGTGGCATGAATTCAATCCCTGGCCAGGAAGCTAACCCACATGGCGCAGCACACCTCTCCTGTCTCGCCAGCTGCTCCCCTCAGCAGCATATTTCAGTAGATCTGCCTTTCACCACCTGCCCCCCTTCTTCTGGCTTTCACCCCAGTTCTTATATACATAAATAAATAATTTTTTTTTAAAGGAACACAAGCAAAGCCTAAGACCTTATTTCCTGGCCATGATCATTTTTTAAAAGATGTTTGTTTTCCAGTCAAGATCTCGTTTATCAGAAGTAGAATAGTGCTCTGAAAGTGCCAAAAAAAGAACTGCCAAGTTAATGTCTTTGGCAAAAATCTATCAACGTATTAGTAACCATCAAGGAAAATACACAGACAATAAAATAACAAAGGTTATCAACAAGCTCTGACTAGCCAATTCAATGAACTGAGGAAAGCAGATTTTGGGATAAATGATTATAAACTAAATCACATGGCTTGAGAGCCAAGGGTGTGCATGAACTAAAAAGGAAATCAGAAGAGAAGAAAAGGATGCGCCTAAGTGGCAGCAGAAAACATCTACACAGAAGCAGCAAACTATAAGCAGAGAAGGATACCAGAAATCAAGAAATAATCAAGAATAATCAAGAAGGATACCAGAAAACACTTTAAAGTCTGAGGTGACAGAAATAAAAATAAATCAGATCTCAAAAATTTTCTTACAAAAACAAGCAAGCAAGTAAGCAAGCAAGCAAACAAACAAACAAAAAGCAGGGTTTCTAACATGCTGCATGCTGGGCAAATGCAGCCAGCCTGAAATTTTTAGCCACTAAAAACAGGGTGAACTAATAAGCTGTAGATATTAAAGGTAAGCCCTAGGGCCTAGCCTGCCAGATAAAGAATTTTAGAAGTTTGTCTAACTATGGGAAGGATAAATATACATGTCAAGAGATGAATTCCTGAAATAAGAGAAAAAAAATTTCAAACAGATTTATTCACATAAAAGGCTGGTAAGCAGTTTCCACAGAAAGTTTTGATGCAAGCTTCCCTATTCTGGTTCACACTCTTAACCTTCCTCACTTACTTAAGATATAGCATAAGTCAAATAAAGAAATGGACATTTCAGTTATTTTAATGCACTGAAGTGGGGTTCTGAAAAGTGAGATAATTAAGCTGTTTCCAGAGTTCAAACACTTTTCTTGGAGTCCCAAGTAGCTAAAACGGATGTTATAAGACACCGAATATATGAATATGATAAATTTGAAACCACAAGGAGTAACAACTTTGCTAATTTATTCATTTTCGAAATAATTTGTTCAAACTGATCATACAGATTAAATACTTAGCAACTCAAGACTACATACATTCCCCACTGCATAAACCAAAAAAGTGGAATGGTACCATAGATTTTTTGAGACAAGCTTTTTGATAGAAGTCAAATAACAATTTTAGAAAAGGATCTTAGCTCTAATGAATGTAAATCATGTCTGAAGTTCTGGGCCTGCACTTGAAACAGTCTCATCAGAAGTCTCTAAATTTCAAACATTTCCCTATCAGTGTGGGTCATTTTCAAGAGCAGGTAAGAGCTGAAAGAACTATATACTTAGGATCCACATAATGGAGGAGGTAAGAATGCATATCCCACATCCAAACTAAAATTTTTTTTTAATAATAAATTTTATTTTTATATTCCCCATACAATTTCAACCCCCCCATTTTGACCCCAATCCCTCCCCTCCCTCCACCCACCCCCCCAAAAGTGTCTCTGGTTCATAGATTTTTGTTGATTTTGATTTTCACTTTCTTATAGTTATTCATTTTCCTGGTCCCTTATTTAAGTTTTCTAGATTCCTGCTATGAGTGAGACCATCCGGTATTTTTCTTTTTCTTTCTGGCTTATTTCGCTGAGCATGATCCCTTCCAGCGCCACCCATGTTGCTGCAAATTGCATGTGTTTATCTTTTTTGAATGCTGAGTAATATTCCATGGTGTATATGTACCACATCTTCTTGATCCAGTCATCTATTTTTGGGCATTTGGGCTGTTTCCAAAGCTTAGCTATTGTAAATAGTGCTGCTATAAACATAGGGTTGCAAAGCAAGCCAACTGCTGTATAACTTTTGTTAGTGAATATATTATCTATCATACAACTACTAATATTTAACCTGAAAACCACCAACAGGGACAAAATAATGGGTGAAGATTAGGTAACTCTAATATGAAAACTCATGGTGTGCATGTAATAAGGATTTCTGAACATGCAACTCAATATTGAATAACCTCACAATACTGAGATCTTATATGGAAGACATATGACTATGTTTAGACTGGAAATAATTAGAATGTGAAGTACCTAGTATAGTGTCAAGCTAGGTCAAAGCAAAGTATTTACAAATTAAACAGTACAAAATAGGCTATAATTATAAAAGCCAATCTATAATATGGATACTAAAGTTTCTCCAGGGACAATCAATAAGGGAATGTTTTCTCATTAAAAGCACAAGAAGATAAGAATATTTAATGGTGAACTATAAAAACTGAAAATATAAGCAGAGTTCAATGTAATAAGTCAGATATCTAATTACAAATAATATGTGGTATATGTATACTCTAGCATAAATGGTAGATATCTGAAAGAAGCTACTAAGGATTAGATATTTAGTATAGCTTTCAATTCAGTTCTCCTCTTTTAGTCCTTTAATATGTATCAGTAGCATCAATAATAATGGTTTTTCTGGTCTTCCACAATTACCAGTAACATATAATTATACTTGTACTGCAAAGACAAAATTCCTGAATATAATGAAAGTAAACGTGGAGTCCCTTGGATGATAACCATTCTTTTCTTTATACCGTTTTCTTCTAGCTTATCAGTTTTTTATCTTCCTTCTGCTTCACCCCCAAGGTTTCAATGAATAGGATTTACACTTTGAAGTATTTTCTCCTTGTCAGGTGTCCTAGATACTAGATAATTTAAGGCAATAAAAATTGTTAGGATTTTGGAAAGTTTGAACACCATCACATGGAAAAGCTGGGACAATCAGACCAGGAATGAAAGAAATGATGAAACACTTATGAAAATAGGTTCTGGAGCTCTCCAACGAGGGGATTTTGAGCAATGGAAAAAAAAGACTGTGTTATGGTGGCATGAGTAGAAAAGAGAATTAAAATGGGGAGGAGAAAGTGATTACTCTTTTGTTCTGGATTTCTAAAGCTTTACAATCAAGGTAAGTGTACTTTTCAGCATCTCTTCTAGCCATCAGTATCGTTTCAGGACTGAAAGACAATGTCCTCTTCCCTATTTAAAGAAAAAAGTATTTCTCCTACAATAATTTTTAAAATGCCTAATTTTTTTTAACAAAATTATAACAGAAAAGTCTAAAACAACTATAACTGGGGCATTTACAATACGTTTCTGATTTGTTTCATTCAAATACGATGCTCTGAGAGAGGACCGGGGTATAAGTGGATGGCTGACGAAGGGAAAAGCTAATGTGAGGGGGCAAGCAGAAAGAAAAAGCAAAATAGTAAAGGTATAAAGCTTAAGTAGTCCATAGTTTCATGGAGACTGAACATGCCTCCTGCCAGTTTCTTGAGATAAATTTCCAACTCATTCATATAACAAGATCTACTTTAATAGACCCCCAAATTTCCTTCTACTTTCATCTCCTGTTGCAAATGTCCACCTATCTCTACACATAATGCTACAACACATGCCAACAAATCTCAGAAGAGGCATCTCCTTTCATGCCTTACCCCAATTGTGACAAAAACTTTTTCTTGTTTTTTAAGTACCGGTGCAATTTTCTTTGCCTTCTAACTCTAGTCTAAACTGGTCACTACTTTCTCTTTTGCTCTCAAACCATGTAATTCATACTGCATTTTATTGTCATTTCCAATTGATAGGCCAAAAATCATTGGGTCTTACTTGAGTCCTTCATTCATATTCCACATCAATCCCTCAGCAAATTCTGTTGGTTCAACTTCTAAAATAGGTACAAAATACAGTCACCTTCCATCAAATAAAGCCAAAATAAGAAGTAACCACATAAAGCTGACTATAGAACTAAGGTTATCAGCAGGGGAGGGGAAAGGATGAGGAAAAAGTGGGTAGGAAGTAAATGGACTATGATGGTGGGCTGTGGGTGTCTAGGTGGTGGGTACAACGTAGTAACACCATTTAAGGGGGGCATACTATGCTTCTAACATACAATGGTAGAAACCAATTTTACCTCAATTAAAAAGAAAAAAAGGTCACCTTCCATATTCTACTGCTACCCTTCTGAGGGCAAGTCCTCTTTTGCCTAAACTACTGTAATAGCCAATCTAGTCTCCCCGGTACCCTTGTGCCCCAACAGTCAAAATGCCACACAGCTGACTTTTCCCTTTAATTTCTAGTAGAATCATTCCTGTACTTGAGGTCTGCAAAGTCCCATTTCATTTAGAGTAAAAGTCAAAATTCTTACAAAGACCTATGTCTTATACAATCTGTGATGGACCCTTCAGCCCAAATTACCTCTCTTACTTATGCCCTATACTGCTCTGTTTGCCTACATACCACTTGAGAGACCCACTATGCACACTCTAGATTCTAGGTCTTAGAATTTTATATTTACCAGCTCTGTCCCCTCACCTTGTTCATACTGCTTATTCATCACCACTTTCAGATCCTTGCTCCAATGTTACCTTCTCCATGTGATTACTCTATAAATGCCACAACAGCCTCATTTCCCTTTTCTACTTATTTTTATCATCTTACATACTATACTTTATTTATTGTTCAATGTTTGTTACTCTCTACAAAAATGCAGGTTTCAGAGATCTCATTTTCAAATAAAAAAGTCATAATTTCATAAGGAGACTGGTCTATTTTAGAGATATTTCCCCAAATTCAATTCTTGCAAGTATTGGGAAATCTAGTACTGATTATTGCATAAGAAAATGAAATACGAGTTGATCTAATCAGTGTAAATGCTGCCAGTTCTCATCAATTAAAAAATTTGATTTTGGATTTTACTGCTTTAGTGTCATTCCAGCCATTTCCACCAAACAACGGACTGAATTTGGGGCTACCTAAATATTTAATATCATGTAACCCATTTTGCCCCCTAAACAATATAAGGTTGCAGCTATAGCAGGTCAATGCAAAATCATAGTGTTCCATTAGGTAAAGCATTCACTTCTTCATTATGTACTTCTATCATCCTCTCTAGGAAGTGGTGCTTCCAATTATTCCCAAATTTTAAGCTCTCTTACAACTCATGGGCCTGGGTTAGATTTCCATCCCTTTTCCTGTTCACATCTATGGATAAGAAATAGCTTTAAGTTCTGGGAAATACAAAAGCAGCAAAGATATAATCCCAGGAATGCAAAAATGTTCAAAAAATCTTCGTTACATTGCAAATAAGCTAAGGGGGCAAATCCATTCACATAATTCTAATGCCTTAGTCAAGTAAAAACTTAGCATTGAGCAGTTAGCTATGTAATCTAAAATACTACAGAACAAAAAATTTTAAGGTAAGGCAGTTACCTGAGGAGAGTCAAAAGGATATCTACTACTAAACTTAAATAGAAGTTGAAATTTTTCCCCTTCATATAAGGTACCTGGTGCACCTTCCATGTCTACAATCCACCTAGAACAGAAAAAAAAAAAAAAAAATTAAACACTTTCGATAAAAGGAATTGGGGTGAAAAGGAGAATGGGAAAAGTGAGTACTTCACCTAAGTCAGGCATTGGGATAGGATCATTCACGTGTAACAGCATATTTCATCCTTACAACAACTATAAAAGTGGGTGTTAACACCCCTGGTCCTATTCCTTTCCCAATATACTCAAGGGTTAAATGACTAGACCAAGATTAGAGAGTTAGCCAAGGATAGAGCCAAATTTTAACACAGGAAGGTCTGCAAACAATAAAAACCCAAACTCAGGAGTGTGGTATCAAAATTTCTTTACTTCTTATACAATTGATCCTACCATATTTTTTCTTTTCTTTCTCTCTTTTTAAAGATTTATTTATTTATTTATATAAGCACTGAGTACAGTTAGAAGTGTGGGAGGGTGAGAGAATGCACCAGAGCCAGAGCGGGGAGCAGAACAGACAGACTGACGAAATGCACTGCTGAGGGGAGCAGAGGGCACGGCAGGAGAGGTCTGTGCACCATGTGGGACCCTCGCTGGCTGGCTGGGGACCAAACTGGCGCTGCAGAGGCTGCAGGCAGCTTCACAGCCCAGCACTCAACTGCTGTGCCACCGAGGAGGATTTTTTTCAAAAACTACTTCAAAAATTTTTTTCAAAAATTACTCTATTTCTGCATGACTATGTAGATTTTATAAATAATCACAATAATGAACGATCTTTCTGATATCAATTAGAAATAAAGGGGGAAGTAGGTACCAAGAGTATCTATAGAAATTTGTAACATTCAGACCAATTTGCTCATCAGTATTCTAAAGATTAAACAGGAAAAAAAAAGTTAAGTTGACCTCAGTCCACTTAACTCTGGTGTGGCTATGCAAGGCTCTATATGGCCTTTACTTACCATTATTGTTTAATAAAGCCCCACAATAGAATGCTATGGAATCTTTCTATGGCTTATTTCACTCATATATATATATATATATATATATATATATATATATATATACACACAATCATGAGTACAAATAGGATTTAATTATATTCTGTACACTATTGTTTGTCCTCAACTTTAAAGGGGAGAGGGTGGTGACAGAGGACTGGGGAAGATGATGGCAAAGATGACTGGGCAGGGCCTCCCTGGTAGCTCAAGGGGTTAATAAGCATGGCACTATGAAGCAATCCGCAGCCTCTGCAGCAGGAGTTCGATCCCCGGCCAGCCAGGGGGCAACCCACATGGCAAGACAGACCTCTTCTGTCTCACCCACTGCTCCCCTCAGCAGTGTATTTCAGTCAGTCTGCCTTTTCTGTTCCCCACTCTGTCTCTGGTGGATCCTCTCACCCACTGCATCTCTGGCCTATACCCCAGCTCTTGTATGCATAAATAAATCTTAAAAAAAAAAAAAAAAAAAGATGACTGGGCAGCATTTAGAAGAAAAAGTGGGCCAAAGTTTTAAGAATGAGTTCTTAATTATAGTTCTGTCACTTATAATTATTATACACCTAGCCAGTTCCTTTAATCTTATACTTTTCATGTATAAAATTTTATTATATTAAATATACAGAAACAAAAGGAAAACTAAAAATAGAAGGTAGGGATTTTATTCACCAACTCACATACTATGGACTTTGGAGCATGTAAAATAATAATTAATGTTCCCACCATGAAAGCAATCAGCTAACGCAGATTGTTAAAAGCAGAGCAATTCGTTTTAAGAATGCATGTGAGTACCACACATAATAATAAAAGATATGGACCTCCCCTGTGACACAGTGGGTTGAACACAGCACTGTGAAGCTGTACGCAGCCTCTGCAGCGCTGGTTAGATTCCTGGCTGGCCAGAGAGCAACCCACTAGGAGCAGCAGACCTCTCCTGCCTCGCCCACTGCTCCCTTCAGCAGTTTCTTCAGTCTGTCTGCCTGTTCTGCTCCCGGCTCTGTCTCTGGTGAATTCTCTCACCCTCCCAAGCTCTGAGTGTACCCTAGTTCAAGTAAATAAGTCTTTAAAAAAAATATATATATATATATATATAAAAGATATGACCACAGGCCCAAGAAGCAACATTTTACAGTGAAATTTGACAGATTTTACTCCTTAAATAGGTGTATGGCCACCAGTATGCATTTTACCCCTCCTGTTTTAAGTACTTCAACTGCTAAATAGATCTTCAAAATAAACTGCTAAAATTGTAACAAAAAAGTATATTCACATCATAGTGTTGTTGGGAAGATAGATATTATACAGGCAAAAAACCTAGCACATTCCTGACATCACAGCCAGTACAAATTAAATACAATGCAACAGTTTCATTTAAAAACCAAAACCAGGACCTCCCTGGTGGTGCAGGCAGTTGAACACAGCACTGTGAAGCTGTCCGCAGCCTCTGCAGAGTTGGTTCAATCCCAGCCGGTGAGATTCCCACATGGCGAAGCAGACCTCTCCTGTCTCGCCTGCTGCTCCCCTCATCAGTGTATTCATTCAGTCTGCCTGTTCTGTTTCCCACTCTGTCTCTGGTGACTCCTCTCACCCTCCCGTGCATCTGGCCTGTACCCCGGTTCTTGTATAAAAATAAATAAATCTTTAAAAGTTTTAAAAATAAATAAAATAAAAACCAAAACCAAAACCAAACCATATTCCTTAATAAATTTGGTCCTACCTTGCCAGCAAAATTCCCTTTTATAATCCTGTCCAGACATACACTAAGCAGAGTGATATTCCAGGAAAAATCGGAGTACTTAGCAAATTTTAGGACACAAAACATATCATTAGCAAATTTTAGGACAGAAAATGTATCATTAATATATATGTGACCTACTCAAACACAGTTTTTAAATAATAGTTAAGTAAATATCTCAGTAATCCTTCCAATTTCTGAGGTGAGACAGGTGAAAGAAGGCATAATTTTCAATACTGTAGAGGAAAATTTAAAATAAACTTTTATTAACTATAAAATAAGTTCAATATAGAAAATTTAGAAAAGCATAAATAAAACAAAACAACCCAAAGATAACCATAAGGTTTTGGGGGTACATATCATTCTGGGTTTTGGGTACATTTCATTCTAGTCATTTTGCAGTTTCTCTATCGATGGATGCAAAGCATGATAAAGTCATATACTTTAATTACATAAATCCATACCACCAGTGTTTATGATTCCAATCATGAGTAAGGATACAATAGAAGTCTCAGTTCTTTAATTATTATGAGGATTGACTGCTTTATGGCTCCAATGTTTAAACAGGTTATTTTTCACAAATCATGGCTCTTAAAGAAACATCAATTCTTCATTGAAGGAAAAACTAGCATTGTGTGGGCCTCCCCGGTGGCTCAGCGGTTGAGCGCTGGGTTGCAAAGCTGCCCGCAGCCTCTGCAGCTCCAGTTCGATCCCCGGCTGCTCCCTGGCCATGGGAGGAGGGTCCCACATGGCGCGACAGACCTCTCCTGCTGCCCGCTGCTCCCCTCAGCAGTGTACTTCGGTCCTTCTGCCTGCTCTGCTCCCCGCTCTGGCTCTGGTGAATTCTCTCACCCTCCCGCACTTCTGACTGTACTCAGTGCTTGTATAAATAAATAAATAAATAAATAAATAAAATAAATCTTAAAAAAAAAAAAAAACACCGATGTAAAAAAAAAATTAAAAAAAAAAAAAAAAAACAACTAGCATTGTGGTATATATTAAGATACATACCAATATAGCCTCTAACAAGGGATTTTCAAAGGCCATTATGACTGTACAATATATTTGCTTTACATATTATTATTCAAGTGCTGCCAATTTTCTGTACTACCCTGAGAAACCAGTTCCCTGATATTGACATTACATTGTCCAAATTTTCCCTAGAAACAGTAATGGTAAGGGCCTCCCCAGTGGCACAGCGGTTGAGTGCTGGGTTGCGAAGCTGCCTGCAGCCTCTGCAGCGCCGGTTCAATCCCTGGCTGCCAGGCAAGGGTCCATGGCGCACAGACCTCTCCTGTGTACTTCGTCAGTCTGCCTGTTCTGCTCTCCGCTCCGGTGAATTCTCTCACCCTCCCCCGCTTCTGACTGTACCCTGGTCTTGTATAAATAAATCTTAAAAAAAAAAGAAAAAAACAGTAATGGTAAAATGTGTACAGTTAGTTCTAAGTCAGTCTTCTTTTTTTTTTTTTTAAATTTTTTTTTTTTAAAATACACTGCTGAGGGGAGCAGCGGGCGGCAGGCGAGGTCTGTGCGCCATGTGGGACCCTCGCCTGGTAGCCGGGGATTGAACCGGTGCTGCAGAGGCTGCGGGCAGTTTCGTAACCCAGCGCTCAACCGCTGCGCCACCAGGGAGGCCCTCTAAGTCAGTCTTAGCTATTCCTTCCTCAGGATAGCATAGGGGTACATTTATTAGGTCAAAGTAACTTTTTTTTTAGTTTTATAGATACATCTCAATTGTCCCCCAGAAAATTTAAGATACTTTCGTCATCTTCCTTATCTATTATAAAGCTACAGTCCATAAAATCCTGTAACAGGGCAATAATTCCCAAGGAAAAGGGGAGGTTCCAGGATCCCTGCCACACCCTAAAGAAGGGTGGAGCTGAGCAGGGAGGAGAAGCTAGAGAGTAATGGCAGAAGAAAAGAAAGAGATTAAGAGGACCTGAAGGAGGCACATGGAGCAGAGACATGTGAAGAAGCTGTGCTTGCTTCTTGGCCTTGGACTTGTACCAGGGGCTTGGAGGACATGGAAGGAGACACTTTAAAGAGGCAGAGACATGGGTGAGGATAAATAGGTGTAATCAGAGGATTTTAAGGTCGTGAAAATATCTGGTATACCATAATGGTGCTACATGTCATTATACATTTGTCCAAATCCATAGACTATACAACACCAAGAATGAGTCGTAATGTAAACTGTAGGTGCTGGGTGATTACCATGCATCAACATAGGTTCATCAATGTTACAAACATACTGCTCTAGTGGGGGATATGGATAATGGGAGAGGCTATGCATGCATGTGTGAGAGCAGAGACCTTATGGGACATCTGTACCTTCTACTTAATTTTGCAATGAACCTGAAAATATTCTTTAAAAAAGATCTTAATTTAAAAAAGTCAATTGGGAACCTAACATTATTCTGAAGCGATTGTTACAGATCTAGAGAGAAGTGTACTACATTTTCTAACATTAATACATCCATCCAAAAAATTAAATATATCTTCTCTTCATACTCCTGTTCTTAAAAGTGGACTTCTGTTTTAAGGACTGACTTAGAAATCAAAGTCAAAGGTAAACTGTTTCTTCTGATGCCCCCCACTATGTGAATTTTGGTTATTTTTGCTCTCTCGACCTAAAATATAGTTAAATATTTGAACTGTCTTATATGTCCTATAAATTGGTTTATAGTAAGTTTTTATCTTGTTGGCTTCTATGCTTTTTTTTGGGGGGGGACTTCTTTTTGAGAGGGAGAGCCAATTATTTTTAAGTTTTCCCCTCTTTCAAAACATTTATCATTTAACATAATTATTAAATCAAGAGTGACAAGGACAGACTATACTGTTTGTAAAGCCTTTGGATGATACTCTTGAAAACACTGCCAATTATTTCAAATGCTTGTTTTTAAGAGAAGGGATCCATCTCTTTGGTATCATTTGTGGAAAGGAACCTGTTTTGGCTCCACTCCCAAGGAAGGAGCTCAATTAGAGAAAATACTTCTATATTCTCTTCATAACCCCTTCACTTTTTCATACTCATGGAAAAGTTTCTTATCTATTAAATGAGAAGATTCTAACATTTATTCATCAACTCTTCTGTACAGGAGGCAGTTCATGTGTTCAGTGGATGAAGATACGGATACCTCTGACTTATGCTTCTCAATGCTTTAAAAATGTATATGTGAGGGTCTCCCCTGGTGGCAAAGTGGTTGAGCACTGGGTTGCGAGGCTGCCCGCAGCCTCTGCAGTGCCAGTTCGATCCCCGGCCACAGGGGAGGGTCCCAGGGAAAAAAAAAAAAGTGTATTTAAAAAACCTGATAACCTCATACCAAATTGCTCTATTATAGATGAAAATTTTTTGAAACAAAAGTCAGACCAAAGTTTTTAAATGCTGTCTCATCATCATGAAACATTTAAAAACCTTACTAACCAAAGATATAGTTTGAAAATAAAGTTTACAAATTATGCACTACAGGTATGATATCAAACAAAATTGACTGCACATAAATGCACAGAATTAAGATGTTTATTATATTTATCTCATGGTATAGGAGAATGGGATGAAATATGAAAATGTGTTTTAAATAATGAATGTATACTATTCGTGTTGATAATAAAAAAAATAAGTACTTTAAAATTTAAATACATACTGTGTAATTGAATTTTGAACACTCTTTTCATTTAAAGTCATCCCGGGAGGTGGGTCATTTTGCAGAGCCAACAGTTCTTTCTGCAGTCGTTTCTAGAAAAGAATATCAACAGTAATTTGCATTTTTCAACAATTGTCCTTCAAATGACACAATCGGAAATTTGTCATTAAATTCCCTCTAAATGCTCATTTCTTCCTTTATAAGCCCTTTACATCTTTCATATGTCTTGAATTTCTACTTTTCAAATTTGAATTACTGCCCTGCAATTCACAACCTATTATGAAAATATTTCTAAATATATTTGTAAACACTGATGTTAAGGTGCCCAAATTACAGCATACCAACATCTTTCAAACTGGTCTCCTCAAGATGCCCCATCTGGCATACAAAACACTTTTAAACTAAGAGCAGCTAAATTCCTACAAGCTGAGGTGAAGCTGCTGTTCATGCCTAAATCCTTTTCCTTCCATGATCAAAGAAGGTATCTGCATGTCCTTGCAGAAGCAATCACTGCTTCCCTTTTTATGGCCTAGAAAATGTAGTTTGGGGAGATTCTCATCTAGTTGTAGGTTTATCAAAGGAACATGTCCTCTCTGTCCAATCATCTCATCTTTATCAGAGTTAGGATGAGATAATCCCTTCAGGTCTGTCAGTAAAATCTCCTCCCTTTCTTTTATGTACCAGGTCCCTAAACACAGGATAAATATCCCTAGCTCCATTATTCTTTAGAATTTACAACCATGAACATTTTCCATACTTATGCTATTTAGTTTTGGTCGTCTCCTACTAATCTGTCAGATGTTAATCTGTCCCATCTGTTCAGCTTTAGAAGAAACCAGATGGGATGGCAAACTTCCCAATGAATGCCACCAATGCTGTAAAGGGATTATGAAGAGCTGCCAGTTACCTATAGGATCTTAACCAGGCTACTGAGATTATAAATTCTTAGCCTAGGCTATACGTGCCTAAAGATTTTAATAGTTGATTCTTCCTTTATTGCTCATAGTTCTCCATAATCCTTAACGAATGTGTCTTATTTCAGGCAGACAAGCTTTCCAGAGGAACTATACAAGTAACTTTTCATGAGAAAAGCCTTTTGAAAAAGTTTTAAATAATTTTAATTTATAACTGTAGTCTATATTTGTTTTCTTAAATAAGATCATCTGCACATAATTTAATCTAACACCACCATATAAGAGGGAAAATGTTCTCTTTCCATGTATCAGATGCACCCAAGTGAATATGTATTTTCTGCATTCTTGTTGGTACAACTTTTATTGTTCAAGTCTTCCTTTTTCTATCAGAGATCATTCTGTTTTAGTAAACAACAAAGCAAAATCACAACAGTCCATAATTTATGGGTTTAAAAGCCAAGTAACCAGCACATAGGGGTTAAGTCTCAGTGCTACCACAGAGAAGGCCCAACAGCTATTGCTACAGCCTGAACTTGATCCCACATGGCACAGCAGACCTTTCCTGTTTTGCCCACTTCTCCCTTTAGCACTGTATTTCAGTAGATCTGCCTGTTCTGTTCCCTACTCTATCTGTGGAGATCCTCTCAAGCTCTGGCCTACACCCCAGTACGTCTATGCAAAAATAAATAAAATCTTTTTAAAAAATAAACTGTTATTAGAATTGTTTGCAACATCATTATATATTCTTAATGAGAATCTTTTCTTGGGTTAAAGTAAATAAGCAAGGATCTATTCAGAACTCTGCTTAAATCTAGTTTCTTTTTTTCTAGACAGTGTAACATTACTATCAGCACAGCAATGTTTCTAGACCTTTTCAATTCATACCTTTAAATAAACATTCCATCATTCAAAACCACTAAAGATTAAAAACACTTCTTTCTTTACTAAGAATCACTTTAGGGGGCCTCCCTGGTGGCCTAGGGGTTCTCAGCACTATCACCACTACAACCTGGACTTGGCCAGGGAGCTAACCCACCTAAATGGCATATATGGCTTAGCAGACCTCTCCTGTCTTGCCCGCTGTTCCCCTCAGCAGTGTATTTCAGTAAATCCACCTGTTCTGCTCCACACTCTGTCTCTGGTGAATCCTCTCACCCACCCCCCCACACCTCTGGCCTACATCTTAGTTCTTGCATGCATACATTAAAAAAGAGCTGTCTACACCCCAGTTTTTTTACACACACACACACACACACACACACACACACACACACACGTCACTCTAATAGAACTTTTATAGTAAATGTTCCTTTTAAGATGCAAAGAATGAAAACTTTTTGTCAGATCTTAAAATATCATTATTGCTAGTAACAATGCAAATAACATATAAACTACTTGTAACTTCAGACTTGAGCTGCCCTGCAAAATGCAAAGTAATTACAAAGTAAAAATTAGTCAAGTAAAAATTAGTCAGCACCACTTCCATGCCCAGCCAGGGAACAACCTACATGGCGCCAGAGACCTCTCCTGGCTCGCAAGCTGCTCCCCTCAGCAGTGTATTTCAGTCACTCTGCCTGTTTTGTTCCCCACTCTGTCTCTGGTGAATTCCTCTTTCCCCCACACACCTGGCCTGTACCTCAGTTCTTGATGCATAAATAAATAAATCTTTAAAAAAAAGTCAAGAAAAAAATTGTTAACCAAAATATAGAAATAAAGTTGCCTATATGATTTGTTTTGAATAAAGGAGAAATACATTTGTGATGAATTTGTCAGAACAGCGAGCGTCCTTATCCTACAGATGTTAACAAATACAGGTTGTGTATCACTGACATTTTAAAAACTCCTGGATTCATCAAGTCAAAACTGACTTCCTCAGTGCACAACTTCTCAGAGACTCCTGCTATAGTAACTTGCACAATGGTAACTCCAAGGAAAATGATATACAGTTTCTAAAAATAATGGCACCCTCTCAGGGTACAGCATCTGAAACCAGCTGTTTTCCAACAACCACATTTTGGAAAACAATGCTATGGAATTATCTAGATTGTGAGAACTTTACAAAGACAGGAAGGAAAGAAAGAAAAGGAAGAAAAGAAAACAGAACAGAAAAGAACAACAAAAAAAAAAACCCCTGTTCATGAATCAAGGACATAAAGGAAGATCAATTTGCCTTGCTACCAACTGAAAAAAAGGACATAAAGGCAAGTTTAAAATGTTTCCTCATAAGTGTCCTGAACATAATGGTAAAGAGTACTATGGGAAAAAAAAGTTTTCTAAAAAAAAAAGAAAAGGCCTGATTCTCCACCAGATACTACTTATTACATGTCCACAAAGGAAGGAACTCCTGGTAGCTAAACCAAGAGACTCTCCAATTAACTCTGCTTTCTTGTATTTATATCCTTGTATAGTTCCCTCTCACACTGTACCCAAATTAGTTTGTGTGCCCAATAGACTACAGCAGTAATAATGGTATGTCACTTCCAAGACTATGGCTTACATCTTAGTCATTTCCTCTAGAATACCTGCTCCGGAGGAAACTAGTTGTCATATTATGAATAGTTAAATTCAGAGGCCCATGTGGTGAGGTTATTGGTCTCCTTCCAATAACCACTTTATGATGTAGAAGCAGATTCTCCAGTGCCAGCCAAACTTTTACATGACTGCAGCCTAGACCAAAATTTTGCCTGCAGACTAAAGAGAGACTATAAAAGTCAGAAACATCCAGCTAATCCTGATTCCAGACTCTTGGAACCAGTTGGGATTATAAAGGCTTGTGATTTTAAATTACTAAATTCAGGTTAATCTGTTATATAGCAACAGATAATTAATACAGGACCTCTGCCACAAACCCATCTCCCCCGACTTCTTCATTTCTGCATGACAGATTTGAATCCAAGATATTAACTGCACCATGGGAGATGAATCACGACATTAAAAAGACAATCTTACCCATCCTCTAATGCCTTAGCTAGGAGGCAGTAAACTACCTTGCAAACCCACATTCCCTACAGTAAAGAGACAGACCAGGGTCTAAAGTTTGGGTACACGTAATTACTAAGCCCATTATTAAAAATAATAACTTACCCATGAGTTATTACTAATGAAATTTTTAAAAAGATACAAAGAGTGGAAGGCCAAACAGTGGCAGATTTCATGAAAAAGGACTTCAACAACTAGGTGTATCCTTCCTGGAACAGTAATTCACTATAAAAGGCAGGACATGATTCAAGCAATCAGGACCTTCAAGGGTCTTCTGACTAAGAAAACTAGTTTTAAAAGCCCTAGATATGGTCACTATCACCTTTCTTCACACTAACCTAGAGAAGGACTCAAAGAGCTTGATGTGAAGGTAATTTGAGAATGTGAAGAACTAGTGTAACTCTTTATGCCCATGTACTATGTAGCATCAATCAACAAAAAGCTATTATGTAAAGAGACATTCACCTCCTAACTTTAAAGACAAAAGTGTTACAAAAGTAAACAAGAAAATCTAGCAGTTTATAAGACAATCATTTCTCAGACAGTGGTGAAAATGGCAACTATAGACTGAGATAACCAAAGTTAATGGGGGAAAAAAAAAAAACAATAGGAGGTTAACTACTGTAAGTAAAGAAGCAGAAGCACCCAGAAACCTTTGGGAAAGTGTTTGGGGAAGGACCATGTTCCCTGCCCCCACTTACATGCAGCCACCTTGGACTAGCTACTAGGAAGAAAGGTGGAGTTGAGTGGCCAGATGAAGCTATGTACATGGAAAGTAAGTGGACTCAAGAAAAGAGGCTCTTCCCTTTCCAGCTCTGACATGCACCCAGAGACTTGCAGAGACATGGAAGAGACACATGAGAAGGCTGACAAAGGCATTATCTTAATGTGGTATATCCTTTTGTCTCAGTCCTTTGGGGTCTGCTTCAGAATCCCTTCCTGCTGTTCTCCTCCAGAAGGTGACTTAGATTTGTGGCACGCTTTAGGGCCTCAGAGGCACCACTTCTGTCTGACCTTGTTTGGCCGGGCATTTGCACAAGGGGACAGGTAATGTTGGAAGTGGTACTGGGAAACTATTATTAGGAATATTCTCTTTTCTCACTCCTCTATATACACAGTGACTAAAATAAAAATCTTTCAGACTCAGAGTCTGCTTCCTTGTTTTTACAGAGCAGGTGGGTGGACCCTGTTTTAGAGCA